TGAAATATTTTTTTTTACCTAGATTTATTATCTCTAGTTTTAATTTCTTGATCAAAGAAAACAGAAATAGCTTCTGAAAAGAGGCCTAGTCGCCCCCTTTAAAACAAATTGAATATATTTATTAAACAAGATTTAAGATTAAATATGCAAGGCAACAATGAGTTTATTTTTAGGACACTTCTGAATCTTTCACAATTGTCTCCTCTCTGGGCTAGTAATTCTCGAAGACTGATACGAGGTCTACTAAGATGCTTTCAATAGATCAAAACAATATTCATGTAAGTTACTGAACTCCATTAAATCTAAATAAATGTAATATTATCATTTGGTTGTGTTTGGCCAGCGTTTTCAAGAGAGAGGTTCTGGACTTAATTTGTATTTCATTTCAAATAATTTTGGTGGCCTCTATCAATATTGTATTTTCCTTTCTAATTAAAAACAATATTTCCTATATTCTTTTTCTCCCTTTGACAAACCTCTCATTCTACCAAAGCAACAGCACTCTACCACATACTAAATAAAACAACAAATTGGAATCTCCCCTAACGTGATTCTGGCCATTTCACAGGGACAGTCCACGATTATTAGGTTGTCCTTGATCCTCTTCAGTTTGAGACACTTAAGTACATTTACTATAGATTCATTCAATATTTGAACTAAATTAGTACTTGGCCATGGAGGGATGCTGGATTGAAATCCGTGTTCTAGTCTGATCACCCGTTAAGAGGACCTTCTGGCTTCCCTCTGTCTACCAGAAAATGAAATATCAATGAATTAGAAAAATAACAGACTAGGAGATGTTAGGAGATGTGAGCTTGAGTTCCCCAGAGGATGTCTATATTCTGGACCTCAGAGACCTAATAATTTTAGGATCTCTATAAAAGAAACTGTTTAAGAGGAAGACTTAACTGAATTTTTCCACATGGCAGGATATTTTCAAATTGAACCTACACTTGGTGGTTAGCGTTTAGTTTTTTTTATCTTTTTGCAAAATTAATTTTTTCCAAATTGTTCAAACGAAGAGCATTTCTCTTTTCTTTCTTTCTTTTCTTTTCTTTTTCTTTTCTTTTCTTTTTTCTTTTCTTTCTTCTTTCTTTCTTTCTTTCTATCTTTCTTTTTCTCTTTCTTTCTTTCTTTCTTTCTTCCTTCCTTCCTTTCTTCCTTTCCTTTCCTTTCCTTTCCTTTCCTTTCCTTTCCTTTCCTTTCCTTTCCTTTCCTTTCCTTTCTTTCCTTTCCTTTCCTTTCCTTTTCTTTCCTTCCTTCTTTAGAAAAGCAGGAAAAATAAGTGTTCTGAATTCTCTCTGTTATGGGGAAGCCAACCCAGAAGTCATCTTGTGGATCACTGCCCCAAGCAATAAATGGCTTTTGGATGGTGAGAACGTTACTGATCGAATGGACACATCCAAACCCGTGACAGGAAGGGCTGAGTTGCAACAGGTTTCTGGAGCACCTATATTTGGGGACTTTTAACAACATCTATACTCGTATCCACTTAGGGTTTGCTTCATTTCAGCCCCGAATGAGCTCTGATTTTGAAGCCTCAAGCTGTAAACCATGAGCACCTCCAAGGGATATTCCACTTAGAGCTGGAAGATGTGGATTTGGGTGTGGTTTTCAAGGGGCCATTGTCACCTTGTCACCCAACATATTAGGAGAATCTGGGATTGGTTCCTAAAGCAACTGTCCTTAGGCCAGTACTGCCAAATATATTTGATGGATAATTGTTCCCGGGTTTCTGGAAACATGTAAAACGAAACCTGGGCACCAAATCACAGAAGAATGGGCTTAAATTGGAAACATGCATTTTTGTCATCACTATTCGGTGCAATGCACAGCAGTAAAGTTGCACTTTTGCTGGAAGCAGATTGAAAATGTGAAAGGTCATATTCACTCCAGGATTAAGGAAAGTGTCATGGTTTGAATCATACCCCCGTAGAGCATAAAACCAGGTGAAGTTGGCTCCCTAATCATTAAAAGGATGATTTACATCAAAATACCTGGGTCAATCTTGCTTGCTCTTGGGGACTGTAGACGATTGTGATTCCTAAACAAAAGAGGCTTAAGGAGTAATCCCTAAAAGCCTGGGTAAAAAGAAAACAAAAAGTCATCTCTGTAAAGCAAAACTTAAAAAAAATATATTCTTATATATTCTTATCATCAGTTGTTTGGGAGACTGAGAGACCTGAGACCTTTTGATTTATTTTCTGGTATGGTGTTGAACATGCAAGTAGTATGTGCGGTTCATGTCAGTCTCATAGACGAGGAGAGCCCTCACGGGGCCATCTATCTCGCTCTGCACAAAGCCCCCTCTTTTACAAATGCGGCAGAGGATGGATGTTCAGGAGGGTAGGCCGACCGGTTACCCCCAGGGTCTGCGGTCTGTTCAGGGGAGAAGGTAGGAGAAACGGAGCTGCCCCTCGTCCTGCTAATGCCCCCCCTTATCCGAATAACAATAGTGAACCCGACACGCGTGCGCCTGCCCACAGCGAAGCGCTTGACACTAAGAACTGTCATATATGTCCAGGGGACAGAAGTGTGGTTCCCACTTTTTGGCCTAAGTTTACATCACCTGAATGGGGCAGATAGGAAATTGAAACCGCGTGTTTCTCTGTCTCCAGAGGCTCTTAAAATGAGGGACAGGAGTTCCTCTGTCGAAGAGCTGGTGTAAGGTTTTAAAGGAGACGACAGCGGTCCTCCGCGGGGCAACCACCGGCCTCCAGGCCCCTCAGGATCAGGAGCATCATCCACCTTCCCGGGGCGGTGCCTCCCAGGCCCACCTGGGCAGGTGAGCGTCAGAGCCTCCCCCCACCCCGGGGCCCAGACCACCTGGTAGCCGGGGTGGGGAGGCCAGGAAGGGAGATGGGGCAGGTTGGAAGGCCCACTTCAAGGCTGGTCCTTTGTCACCTCCTGCCTCCCTTGCCCTGGCTGGGACTGCAGGGGCGGCGCGGCAGCCTCTTGAGGCCTTCCTGTGACCGGTGAGCGCACCCCTGCTGCGCTTCTCCCAGGGGCCGCCCCGGCCGGGCCACCCGGGCAGCAAGTCACGGCTGGGGCCGCTCTACACCCGGCCCGGGCCCGGTGCCCCGAGCCCCGAGCCCCGCGCCCGCAGCGCAGAGCTGCCATCCAAAGCGAGCCCACACTAAACTTGGGCAGCTGGGGGTTTGCTGGGGTCAGGTACAAATTTGCACGACATTGATTCATTATTTGTTCACAATAGAAAGTATCGATTGCGTTTTAGGCCTGTTCTAGGTGAATATGGCAGTGAAAGAAAAGAAGTTCTCGTCTTCATGTAACTTAAATTCTAGTCCGAGGAAGTAGAGAGCAAAAATGTCTCTGATTCGACAAGTTGTGACAATCAGTGTGGAAAAAAATTGCACAAAGGTCAGGAAGATGATGGGTAATGAAGGAGGAGGGGAAGAAGCTGGACAGGGAAGTATGGGGACAATGAAGATGAAATGGGTCTCGCTGGGTGGAAAGTATCTGCAGACAGGAATGACAGTTGTCTCAAAGGCCACTGAGAGGGCAGGTTAGCTGAGAACTGAGGATCCAACACCGTGTTTGGCAGCGTGGAGGTCGGCGGCAACCCTGACGTGAGCTGTTTCATGGAGCGGGGTGCAGAGCAAAGTCGGATTAGTTTGAGTTCAAGAGAGATTGAGGGGAGAGGGAGGAGAGGCAGAGCGTATAGAAAACTCTTAGGGGGATGTTTTGCTGAAAGGGACGGGGAAGGAATGAACAGTAACTGAAGTGGGCCCCAGGAGAGAACCTGACATCACAGGAAACCTGACCGCGTGTTTGGTGCTGTCGGGACGATCCAGCAGTGGGAAAACTGATGACGTGGAAGAGAGAGGGAGAACTTCTCCAGGGATGTCCTCCAGCAGTCGAGGACGATGGATTGCTCTCGAGCAGGTTTTAAAATTCATGTCATTAAAATTTTTGAGCATATATCCCAAATATACACGTATATTAAATGCATATGCTATTTTACTGTGTATATTTTAGACTTTGATTTGTATGCTACCTTAATGTTTTAATTTTAAAACATATATACAATTCTAACCAAACTTTTAGTATTTTCTAGTATTTTTCTCTCTGTACCCCACAGTCTTACACACTTACCCCTTAAAGTGCAGACACCTCACTTTGGGTGGGGTTCTTTCTCACCTTTAGACAATGTCACTGACACTGACTCTGACTTACCAAAGAACAGCTGGAAGGAAAGAGTCCGGTCTTTTAGGTTTGAGAATTTGAGTTTTCATTTTATCTTGTTTTCTGTCTAGAGAAATATGTTGACTGTAAGCAACCCCTTGTAGAAAACGTCTTGTAACGTAATGCTTGAGATGATGTCGTTAAAATATCTAACTTCTAAGAAGGTTCCTCAAATGCAACTAGAGGCTACCTTGATCGCATGTAATATCACAAAATACAAAAAATACTCATAAAAGGAGAATGACCACATTTCCATTTTTATTAGTTGACATCGGGTCACTTTTTAAACATAGATCATTCCCAGGGCTTTCTTGAGTCCATGATTAAAAGGCAAAAGTGTGCATCTCATCATAGGTGTACAACTGAAACCTTTCACCACATGAGAAGAAGAGTGAGAATTGCATTTTGTAGTTTTTGCATTAAAAAAGAAAAAAAAAACACTGCCAGCTAATGGGCAAACGAAGAAAGGTGTCCCCAGGTTGCAAGGGGACACTGGAGGCTTTCCAGTGATAGGCACTGGAGGCTTTCCCAGAAGACACTGTCCCCTGGGAGGTATTTTTGCTAATTATGAGGCTGAAATTACTGGCGCGAAAACATTGTTCTGGGGTTGGCTAATGTAATGAAACGATGATGTCAGGTCGAACCACGCACGTCCTTAAGGCAGCCGAAGGGATCTTGCCCAGGGTTTCTGTGAAATCCCAGTTGCAAATTGTTACGTCCAGATACGTTGGAAAGACCGTCGGTGCAGTCCTCAGCTTCGCAGCGTGCGGATCTCTTTCCCAGGAGACAGAAGGCTCCTAAATCAGCCTCTCCAGGGCGGGGGGTGGCCTCATGCTCCACATTTCCACTCGAGAGCCCTCCTTTTCCTGACGGCTGGGGCTGTAGGTTCCCTGAGTTGCCCTTTTGTTGGAGGCAACCACAGAAGCAACCACGGCCAGAAAGAGGATCAACACCAAGACTGTCGTCACCGAGCCAAGGGTGGTGAAAATGTCCGAGATCAAGTCATCTGCCAACTGGAGGGATTGAAACAACCGTGAGGGGAGTTAGGGGGAGCAAAGGTAAACGCTCAGGACGTTGGAGCTACCCTGGGATGCACAGCAAGCGCACGCGCAAGGCCGGCGCCACTCAGTACCGACAGAGCCCAAGGTGCGGAAGGGAAGTGGGCCTTTCCTGGTCCCGGTCACGACAGGACGACTACGGTTGTACCAGCCAAGGTCTAGAGTCGGGAAGTGTGGCACGAACTATCCGCTCGATTCCCTCTGCGGCCTGAAGACCCCCGCCGTCTATCTCTACGAGTTCTCCGTCTACACCAACACATTATTCACCGTATCTTCCCTCCCTTGCTGGAAGCTCTGGTTTTGGATTGAAGGAATAGTTGTTTTACAGGCTTTTCTTTGCTTTTTGTTTTTGTTTTTGTTTTTGTTGGAAAAGAAGCAAATTAAATTAGCTGGGTCTCCTGGGAAAGATCCCGAGACAGTGGAGGAGCCGCACGTGCTAGTCCCGCGGGCCCTTCCCACAGTCATCGCTTTGATTTGGATTCGATGTGACAACTGAATTGTTGTAAAAAACAAAAACAAAAACAAAAACAAAAACAAAAACAAAACAAAACAAAAAAAAACCCTCAAAAAACCCATAGGCGTTCGATGTCGAACCAGACATCTAGAAACAGAAAACTGCACGTAGAGCCCTGTTGGGAGGAGCTGGATCCTGGGCTCTCAGGGGTGTTACTCGTACACAAAGGTTTCTTTAATGTTCGTTCACCTGGGTTTGCTGAGCACTTTCTAGCTCTGAGTGACATGAGACTGCGATTTAGGTGCAGGGCGGTGTGGAAGGTAGGAAGCAGGCACTATGTGAATTTTTTGACTGATTTTCAAAGAAATAGTTTGGTCTCAGTAAAAGTGGGGTTAAACGAGGTCCCCTTTTCATTTAGCTTTCTCTGTGACCCCATCACCCAACCAAGCTACTGATACATGGAATCTTGGTTTAGTTGAGCATCCTAAGGAGTTTTATATATCTTCACTCTCCTTAGTCTTTTTTGGTTCAAAGGTTTACACCGTCACACAATTCATTTAATATCGTATCTCTTCATAGCGTTGTCTTGGCTGTGCTCCCTACCAGTTCTGCTCATTCACTCAACGCTATTGAGCATCTATCCTGAGCACTTTATCGAGCTAGGAAATGAAAATACCAAGATAATCCACGGTGTTGTAAGTGGTGAACCACTGAATTCTACTCTTGACCCAAATTGCACTGTATGTCAACTAACTAGAATTTAAATAACAACTGAGAAAAAGAAAAGAAAAAAAAAAGCCAAAAATCCCCCCCCAAAATTCCTACACAAAGTCAGGTATTTTAGCTCAGATTCTGTGATAAGAGGAGGGAACACCCCCCCCACATACACATATGCACGAATGATCAGAATATTTTATAAATACAGATTACGATAGTGTCACAAACGAACCTATCGGGGTGCAGGTGGCGTCGTATTGGAATGTGATTGTTCTTTGAAGGGTGAGAGAACATTCAAATATTTCAAGCAGGAACTTCTACTTGGATGGAACAATTTGAAATAAAAAGGACGAGGGAACATTAAAGTCCTTAGCGTTTGGGGCAACAGTAAGAAATCCAATGTGACCAAAAATATGGTCCAAGAGTACGTGTGTTTGAAATGGGAAAGGATTTTAAAAGTTGGTAAGAGATAGAACCATAAAGTAGATTCATCTTATAAGAAATCTAAGTACCACACTGATATTCGGATTTTGTCCCATAGTCAGTGGCGGGGGTGGGGTGGGGGTGGGCACCGTAGGAGTTTGAGCAGTAGCCTCATGTGATCTGATCTGTATTTTATTAATTTGGCTCTGGTTACAGGGTGACGGATGACGTGAAAGTGGGGAAGAAACGAGGAGAAAATAGGAGTTGATTTTCTTAGTCACGACAAGCAATGTATTTACCAATGGAAGGGGGATTGGAGGGAAGGAACGGTTGAGGGAGATTTCTCAGGCAGAGTTGCTCCCTCTCAGACCGAGTGAGGCTGGGCAACAGCAGAGGAGACACAAGGTGACTGATGCTTCCACATGAGATGACCGCGTAGACGGGGCTATCCTGGACGGGGACGCGGTACGTAGGAGGAGAGAACAGGTTTGTGCAGGAAGACGCTGAGCTCAGTTTGGGAAAAGCTCATTTCAGAAAACACTCGGGCATGTTGTGTGAGTAGATAGAAACCATCCGGCTCCCGTCAACACTTTTCACGTGGCTCTGAAAGACCCTGGCTTGTGACCACTTTACGTCCCTCAGTTAGAGGAGCTTAGGAGTCAAGTACACAGAGAATTCAGAATCACAGAAGTCTGCAGTTTGGGGGGCAAAATAGTTTGCCCCCACCACAGGGCGAGTCCTCCTCCCGCCAGTCTGTGTGGCCCTTCCGAGAGTCATTACATCCTTTATCTGCAAAGACAGCTGCGGCCTGGGAAAAATGAGTGGAGCCATAGGCTTGGCCTTGAGAGGTCAAAGCCTGACAGGGCCAGCTGGAATCCCACCAGCAAAACCCCCTGCTACTGTCGGGGCGGCGGAGGCCTGTCCCCTTGTTCCTGGCTGTTGGCTTCGTCTTCGTCCGCCCCGTAAACTGTCATCCTCAGGAGGACACGACTGCTCCCCACCCCCACCAGGTGGGGGGGGGGGTGCGCCTCCAGAGAGGAGGCAGGCTGCCTGGTTTGCTTCTCTTGCCCAAATGTTTCTGGGCCCTTCTCGCTCAGCCCGCGGCCGAGGCCACTGAGGAGGCCCGCACAGGAGACCGCCCGGGCCGCCACCTCGCAGGAGACCGAGGAGGCCCCAGAGTCCTTGTGACAGCTCAGTCGGGCCAAACCAGAGGCCGACGGCCGCCTGCCCCCTGCCCCGCAAGGTCTCGGTGGTGCCAGGGGAAGCCCGCCGTCGAGGCCCGAGGTTCAGGCCCCTCGCGGCCACCTCGCGGCCACCTCGCGGCCACCTCACGGCCCGCGGCCCACGGCCCGGCCTCCAGTGTCCAGAGGCTGCGTCCTGGCCCCGACACTTGTCGGCATCACCTATAAACTCGGGGGGTTTGCACAGTTCTGTGCGAGTCGAAGGTGGGAGGCGCCAGGAGAGGAAGGCCAAACGCACAGAGCCCGGCCCGCGGGCCGTCGTCACCGTGTAGGGTCCGAGGGGCCGTGGCTCGTTCTCCTGGTTCCACCGACATCCGAAAGCTCACCCCGCACCCCTCAGTACCTGGGGGGACGGCCGAGGGAGCCAACTCCGAGCCTCACACTGCAGATCCCGAGCCGCCGATGAAGGCCTTGAAGAAGCAGGCGGCCGACCTGGGGCCGGAGCGGGGCAGCGGGCGCTGCTATAGGCTGCGCCGGGCCGTGGGGTTTGGAAATCGCCTCCCGAGGGCCCGTGGCTTGAGTCCCCGTGGCTGGAAGGTCCTTTTTGCTCTGCTCTTCCTCAGCTGTGCTGAAAATACACAGCACCGCTGCGATCTTCGGGCCGCTGCACCTGCCCGGCGGGCCGTGGCCTCGCGCTGCACCCCCTAGTAACCTCCTTCCCCGGAGATACCCCCCAATTCATTGCACACTTCGTGTAAGGTCATTTTTTGAATGGCGTCCTTACAAGCCCTATTCAGTTATTACGCTTGCATCTTCTTAACATGTGTATTTTCCCCGTGCTTAGTCGAAACTGCAATTGCTTTGAATTCCGTATTTGCAGAATAAGATACGTGGGTGTTGCTTTTTATTTATTTATTTTTTTCCCCAAGAGGATTCATTCTGAAACACCGACGGGCGGCAGCCTCCGTGTGGCCCAAGGCCAGGGTACACTCTGGAATTCGGAGGTGGAACTGTCAAGCCTTATATTTCAATTCTTCTCACTTGAGACCGTGCTGGAATATGCTGGAACCACAGGGTTTTTTTTTCTTTTTGAATTTTTATGTACTTATTTATTTTAGGGCGGGACAGGCAGAAGGAGAGAAAGAGCATCTCAAGCGGACTCAGAGCTGAGTGCAGAGCCGGCCGAGGGCCCGGATCCCACAGACATCACAACTGAGCCCAAACCAAGCGTTGGATGTGACACGGACTGAGTCACCCAGGCACACACCCCCACCCCTGTTTTTAATTGTCTCTTTTTAAAAGATTTTATTTATTTATTCTTGAGAGACACAGAGGCAGAGACCCAGGCAGAGGGAGAAGCGGGGTCCGTGCGGGGAGCCCGACAAGGGCCTCGATCCCGGGCCCGGGGTCACGCCCTGAGCCCAAGGCAGAGGCAGCCCCTGAGCACCCCCGGCGCCCTGTTTTAAATTCTTGAAAGCGAGGGATCCCTGGGTGGCGCAGCGGTTTGGCGCCTGCCTTTGGCCCAGGGCGTGATCCTGGAGACCCGGGATCGAATCCCACATCAGGCTCCCGGTGCATGGAGCCTGCTTCTCCCTCTGCCTGTGTCTCTGCCTCTCTCTCTCTCTCTGTGACTATCATAAATAAAAAAAAAAAAATTAAATTCTTGAAAGCGAGTCTGTTGCTTCCTCCGCGGGGGGCGGGAACGCGCGCACCTGCTAACGCACTCGCGGGTGGGGCCGGAGCTGCCGGGGCCGGAGCAGCAGACCCGTGGGCCGCGGTCCGCCAGCTGCTCAGCCGCCCGAGCGCCGCCAGGTCGCACAGCTGCCCGGGGGCGCTTGCTCGTCGCCACCCACAGTGCACCCCCACCCCCACCCCCCACCCCCAACCCCAACCCCCGCCCGTCTCCCTGGGCCTGCTCCGGCCGCAGAACACCTCCCAGCCTCGGAGCCCGCCGGGGAGGCGCCGTCCCCGGGCTGACTGGGGGCACGGGGTCAGTTCACGGGCACCCCGGGGGCGCCCACGAGGAGCTGGGGAGGCGCCACCCTGGGCCGACTGGGGGCGCGAGGGCCGGTGCACGGGCGCCCCGAAGGTGCCCATGAGGAGCTGGGGCAGCGCCACCCGCCGGGCCGTCGGGCTCGGCCCCCGCCCCAACGGAGCAGCTCCCCCAACTCTGGAGGACA